GCCTCTTCAGTCAGTTTCGTTTCTAAACTGAGATAGGCCATCACAATTCAAAGGATTAGCTCAAAAGTAAAAAATAGTTTGCACAGCCCATTGGGCATACACATGTATATAACTCAGTGTGCTTTTTTTAGCACAAGATTATCAAAATTAACAAGAAAGAAAGCAATAGTTGAGAAAATATCATGAATAATGTGTCTAAAGGTAGATAGAATTTACTCTATAACAACAAAAATAAATATTACAAATAAAAGATATATATACAACATAAGAAATTGGTGAGCTACCAGGCTTCATGTCTTTTCCCCAATATAATACCTTGACTCCCCATAAAACATTCTGATTAGTCAAATATTGAAAAATTCTAAGAACACAACTTTTTAAAGAATTGCATGGTAATTATTTTGGGTTCATAGAACAATGAAGCTATTCAGTCATCTAAAACAAATTTAAAGACATATCTATCTGAAAATTCCAATGAGATAAATAGAAAGAAAAAATATAGCTCAAGCCATTGCTTAGAAGAGACCATCCAGGTCAGGGGGTATATTAGTTAATACCAGAGAGGCCCTGAGATGAGACTGTCTGAAAAGAAGACATGTATACCATCCAGTTCATCCTATTTAGCCACTTAGGACAATCACAGCACAGTAACATGCAATAGGGTCAAAGATAGCAGAGGATTGTTTTAGTATCCAGAAGCCCTACTCAAATCCACTCAAGAAAACTAAAGACCAAAGATGACTCTCCCTTCAGTTCACCTGTTTGGCTCACTTGCTATCTCTGGCTTGTGCATTCCTGTTTGTGGTATGTAGTGTGTCTGATCAGTCATTCAGCTTTCCTGGGATGGCAATGATACCACCACAGAACAGAACAGAGGGAAAGCTTGCATCTGCTGAATAACATCACTCCTTTTCTGATCAGATGGTCTGAAGAGATGGTCTTCAGATTAAAGCTTTTGCATGTATGCTGAAGGCAACTGGAATTCCCACACCTTGATTCTTGTAAAATTATTTCATGTGGCTGGGGATTTAGCTCAGTGGTTCTGCTGCCTGCCTTACAAGTGCAAGGACAATCCCTGGTACCAAAAAAAAAAAAGAATTTTCTTTCATGTATTTAGAAAATTGCTGAAACCTCTTATATATTGCTGTGACTCAAAGCATAAGTACTTGGAATCAGAATGCCAGCTATCTTTGAAAACAGTCTTTGTGGATAACTTGAGATAAACTAACTTATCTAATTCCTGTGAAATGCTCATAGAAATAGATTTTATATTCATATTTTATCAATTTATCTTTAATTGATAGATAAATTTATATAAATCAAATACAATGTAATAATTTGAAATACACATGCTTTGTGAATGGCTAAATTAAGCTAATTGACATGACTTGCCTCACTTTTCCTTTTCAAGATGGATCACAACCTAATTTTGTTTTACAAATTCCTCATCCCTAGAGAGGAAATGACTTTTTAAAAGTTGGAATAAGCCTACATTATAAATATTTAGAGCTTAGATAACCTGAAGAAAAGGTTGGAAGTATGATGGAGCAGAAAAATGACCTCAAAGAACCCAAATATTTAGCATAAATCACTCTGTTAAAGATAAGGCATGAAGCATAAGGTTTTTTAGATAGGCTGTGACTAATGCATTCAAGCATGGCTTTAGATCTGACAGATCTATAGTCAGTGGTATTACAAGCAAAAATTATTTTTCTGCTTTTTGAAAAAGGTTTCTGCTTATAAAAGGCATCAAAAATATTTAAATTTCTTGGACATCAAGATCAGTTATATTCAATGCTTAAAATCACACTTGCAATTTTTATTTTGTTTGTTTTTGTATTTTGGAGGATCTTGTATAAATTTTCTTTTTAGGTTTTCCATGTTTATAGTCCTTATTGAAATTACATTGATTCATCTCCTCAAGTTAAATAGCTTTCTCTACCTTTCCCCAATAAAAGCCTTTAAGGAAGTAAAACCTCTAAAGCAATTCCTTAAAAAAAAATGCAAACACACATCTAAAAGTGGAAAGACCTTTTGGCAGTAACACAACTTCTGTAACTATTACAGACCAGATCACCTATGTGTACGTTAGAGCTCAACAAACAATTTCAACCATTTTTCCCGGAGAAAATTCATAAAATCCTCCATTATAATTTCAGTTTCTTGAACGTTTATGGAAAGAGAAACACTTTCCTGGACACCAAATTAAGATCCTGAACCAGTGGATGTATGAAACTATTTCTTCCTACCATCTTGACTGAATGAGTTAGACCTTATCCTCGTATGACTGGAATACAGTAAACACAAGCTGAAGCTTAAAATGATCTCATGTAAATAACAAAGTCCAAGAAAGACCCGGTTTCAAGTATGGCATTTCTCTTACTCTTTCAAATATTCATCCTCTGGATTGGATCTGTTTTCATAGAGGTTTCTTTTAGCAACTATACATCATACATTTGCTCAGATTTTGGCTCTATGGGAAAACTAATATACACTTTCTCCAGCTATCTGCCCCCTGGGGGAAAAAAAATTCACTGACTTTTGTGTTATCTGCTTTCTATTACTATGACGAAATAATTGAGGCTGGGTAATGTATAAAAAAAGAGGCAAGGTTTACCTTAGCCCACAATGTTGGAAGCTTAAATTTCTTTTCTTTTCCTTTTTTTTGGGGGGGCGGTACCGGGGATCGAACTTGGGACCTTGTGCTTGTGAGGCAGGTAGCAGAACCACTGAGCTAAATCCCCAGCCTGAGGGTCAAATTTCAAAAAGTATGACACCTCCTCTGGTGGAAGCCTCCTCTGGTGGAAGCCTCTCACTGCATCACATGATGGAAAATGTATCATGATGGGAGTGCATGCATGAGGGAAATATTACATGAAAAAATATCACAGAAAGACACCGGGCAGGATTCAGTCACCCTTCTATCGAGAATTCCTTTCATCACTTCTTGTCCTATTGACAAAGATCAAATGAAGAATTCTCCTCATGCTCAGTTAAAAAAATAAGATCATCCTGATCATTCCCTCTGGGCCCAAGCACTCGCAGCTTCATGGCATGAACACATAATAGAGCCCTTTGCAAAGTATTAGACTGAAAAATGAGAAATGAATGCTTCCCTAGAGTCATGAGATACTAGTATCAAATTAGGGTAAATAGATGTAAATGTTTAAAAAAAAAAGGATGTTCAGTGTTCAATAGTTTCAAGTATATTTCCACCTCAGAATTTTTTATTATAAACATAGCTGCTTATCTCTAAGCACTTGGTATTTCTATTTTCTTCAGGCTTTGAAGACAGATAGCACTCCTAGATATTTAGGAAGAGCAAAGTATATGTCTATATTCAGATGTCTATAACATTTAATGTGTGATAGCCAAAACTATATGCATCTGTGTTCTCGTAATAGATGAGTGGATTGAATCATAGTGTAACCATACAAAGGGGTATGATTTCTTGGAAATCAGAAGAATGAATTATTGATGTGTGTGACGGCATGTATGAACTTCAGAATAATTACTCTAAGTGAAAAAAAGGTAGACACAAAAAGGGCCCATGTGGAATGATTTACGTTTTGCATAAGATTCTAGAAATGCAAACAAATTTACAACTACAGAAAGCACAATAAGATCAGTGATTGACTAGGAAACGGTGAAACTAGGTTTGAGGAAAGGAGGAACAAGAGGAAAAGATTAAAGAGTTTCATGAAGAAAAATTTCTAGGTGATTGATATGTTAATTAATTTGATGAGGTGGACATTTGTTTTTCAGCAAAGGACAAGATGGTAAAGATACACTTTGTAAGCTACATGATTACCCTTATCACTGCTCAAACCCGCCATTGTAGCATCAAAATAGACAAAATAATGTGAGGTGGGGATATAACTCCATGGTAAAGCATTTGCCTATCTAGGATGTATGAAACCCTGAGGTCAATCCTCAGCACTGAAAAAGAAGACACCAATGACTACCACCACAACAAAAATTTTGAATAGTACATAAGTGTGGTTGTGTTCCAATGAGCAACGTACAAAAACATGCAGTAGCCCAATTGAATCTACAGACCATGGTTTACCAATCTCTTCATTATAGTGATTTCACAGTACATACAATATGTCAAAATTTATCGTATTCTATACTTTTTGTCTCACTTATTATATGTCAATTGCATCTCAATAAAGCTATTAAAACTGAGAACAAAACAAGCTAACTTAGTTTTGCCATCATCTACTGCATACAGTCTAATCTTCTTATCCCGGGATACCCATCCTCCTTGGTCTGTCCTCTATGTTCCTTCCACTTCAAACTTGCTGCCCTTCCCTGGTAGAATTTTACACTTCAGCAGTGCCAAACACACACAGAATGCCAGCCAACTTTATCCATTTATTGGCATTCTTATTATTCTTTCTCTGCTTGGAATGACTTGCTCCATCTCGTAGTCTTATTTATCCTTTAAATTTAAACTTGGGCATGTGCACATCTATGATCCCATCATGGGATCCCATTTCCCCATTCCCTTTGCTCATACTCTGTTACATGCTTCATCTAGGCCCCCATCGTGGCCTGTGCATTTGTGTGTGTGTTTTTGTGTAAATATATGCATCTATATGTCTATATTTGCATTATTATATTGTTAAATAATTATGACTATATCGACATGAACAGCCTAAAATATTCTCTTATATATTTAGAATTATTACCCCTTCTTTTCCTCTACCACTTGATGGAAAGCTCTTGCTGTCAATTATACCTATCACATGGGACACTAAAAACAAAATCCTCAGCAAATCAAGATTTTACATGTAAGAAATTATTAAACAGAGATATTATATATTTAACCCATAGTTATGTGGTTATAAGTAGCCAAGCTAATACTTTAAAAGAATTCAATATCTAATCTCACTTTTTCCCATTAATTCACAGAATTTTCTCACTGAAAGCTTACTTTTATTTCAGGTCAGTGCCTTGCCTTTACTGACTCTGTCCCTGTTCTATTTCACCCTTAGATACACCAAAATGAAGACTGCCACCAATATCTACATTTTCAATCTTGCCCTGGCAGATGCCTTAGCTACCAGTACTCTGCCCTTCCAGAGTGTAAATTACCTAATGGGAACATGGCCATTTGGAACCATCCTTTGCAAGATTGTGATCTCCATAGATTACTACAACATGTTCACAAGCATATTCACCCTCTGCACCATGAGTGTGGATCGTTATATTGCAGTCTGCCACCCGGTCAAGGCCCTGGATTTCCGTACTCCACGAAATGCCAAAATTGTCAATGTCTGCAACTGGATCCTGTCTTCTGCCATAGGTCTGCCTGTAATGTTCATGGCAACAACAAAATACAGGCATGGTAAGTGACATTGCAGGATTGAAGGATATGCAGTTTAGGACTTGATATGTTGCCAATGTTGTGAGCCAAGTAGAATTTATGGAGTAGTTCACTATCTTTATCAGATTATAATCTTAATTAGTCTTTCAAAAAAATGCTTTTGGAGGGCCAGGGATTTGGCTCCTGCCTTGCAACGCACAAGGTCCTGAGTTCAATCCCTGCTACCAAATGATTTTTTTCTTTGTGTACTTCATCAAAATGATGATTAAATATAAACATTACTCTTAAAAGTGATTGTGCTTAAACACAGAGGATGTTAAATTTAGGCTTTTAAAAAAATGTCAAGTAGATACTACATGACAAATTTATCTTCTTAGGCTTCGTGGCAGAATAATGAACTACCCACTCAAAAGTAAAGCCATGCATTAGCTGGAAATTCCTAGAGATTTTGGACAAGGGTTATATTTTTATATCAATACAAATTACACAAAGTGTCTAGTTTATGTTGAGAAATCCATAATTGTTTATTGAAAAGAGCTTGATGTGGTCAAAGTAAACAACAAAATGGAAAAATTTTTAAAGTAAATTTCTCTGAAAGATCAATAAAGTTACATTTCTTTCGTAATTTTCTTAAAAGTTTCCCTAATGGTATGGGTATTAATAACTTTAACTCAACCCTGGTGAAAGCTAGAAATTAGTAACAAAATGGCAACATTAATACTTAATATAATAAAATGTCGTTGCTGATTTTTCTTTAAAATTCTTCTTTTCTAGGTTCCATAGATTGTACCCTAACATTTTCTCACCCAACCTGGTATTGGGAGAACCTCCTGAAGATTTGTGTCTTCATCTTTGCCTTCATCATGCCTGTCCTCATAATCACAGTGTGTTACGGACTGATGATCTTACGCCTCAAGAGTGTCCGCATGCTCTCAGGCTCCAAAGAAAAGGATAGGAACCTGCGGAGGATTACCAGGATGGTGCTGGTGGTTGTGGCCGTATTCATTGTCTGCTGGACTCCCATTCACATTTATGTCATTATTAAAGCTTTGATCACTATCCCAGAAACCACTTTCCAAACAGTTTCATGGCACTTCTGCATTGCTCTAGGTTACACAAACAGCTGCCTGAACCCAGTCCTGTACGCGTTTCTGGATGAAAATTTCAAACGATGCTTCAGAGAATTCTGTATCCCAACCTCCTCCACCATTGAGCAACAAAACTCCACTCGAATTCGTCAGAACACTAGAGACCACCCCTCCACGGCCAATACGGTGGATAGAACAAACCATCAGGTATGCAGTTTCTAGAAGTAGATGTGCCTAATGGAGGAGATATAAAAGTCATAGCAATTGCTACCAGTCCAAGATTTCAACCCTTAAAAGGAGAGCAGTAATGCAAATAAAGGATTGAGGTTCTGCCTGAGAATGGAGGGAGGAGGTAGCAAATTATGATTCCATGATCAGAGAGGAGTTTGTCTGTTTGTTTTTTCCATACGTGGCTCTATATATGTGTCTATGTTCCCTTAGGAGAACTAGAAATCCAGTTGCTAAAAATCACTATTATCATGGTGTTTTCCTCCATGCAAAAATCAATGACTTTAGCAAGTTTTGCAAAATAATCCTAATCTAGAATCCTTCTCATTTTCCCAGGAAATAGTCTGCATTTCATAAATACTCCAAACTCCCTGCCACTGTGTAAAAGCCAACCTGTTCTGGTTCTATGGTTAAAGAGCCTGGTTCACTGTAGCCACAGGTACAAAGTATACCAGAACATCAGTGTCACAGCAAAGAAGAAAAGAGGGGAAAAAGGGCATCTCTAATTCTTACTAAACCACTACTTTGTAATTTTTGATATCTGAATTCTAAAGCAAATATCAAATGCATCACTTAATTATTAGAATTGAATTGATCATACCAGTAGGAAGGATGTGGTGAAGAAAGCATTTTTGGAGTTTTGTTCCTATGCTCAGAAAAGTACAAGATGGGGTCTCACAGAAAATTTAGTACTTACACACAATATTGTGGTCACACGAGAAATAACTAAGGAGGAAGAATAAGTTTTCCCCAAATTAGTATTGCCTTAAATTAATACTTTGAAAAATTTGACGTCTAATTTATACAGTCAAGTAAACAGGTGACATCATTATGTATATTAATTTAAATAAGTAAATTTTCAAATAATGCTACCAACATTGAGAAATCATAACATGTATAATTTTATAAAAAATATATACTAATAAAAAGAAACAAAAACTATGACTAAATTAGAAAACAAATTCAAATTCAAGCTTCTTGAGAAATAAATGCTTGAATCAGAACTTTGGATAAAGTTCCTAGGTGAAAGAGCAAAGCTAGGGGACAGGCTCCAAATGCAAAAAAAAAAGGCAGGTGGAGGAGGGGCCCCAGAGAAGCCTTGGGTATTACAGGTGCAGCTGCTCACTCTCTGCGTCTCTTCATCATGGTCCATGTTTCATTGACCTCTCCTACACCACTACTGCCACCCAGGCTAAACCAGGCTTGCCCTTTGTAAGTGACCACGGGATTTATGTAATGGGGCCCAGATGGATCTGTCTTAGGGGACATTAATCCTTGTTTCCTGATATGAAATGATCCCAAAAGGAACACAGGAGCTGGCACTCCTAGATAGCTTGCCATAATAATGGCAGATCTACTTTCAGCCAAAAGGAAATTATGCACTTATTATGTCTCACTTCTGATTCCATCTCAGAAATAAAAGCCAGATAGAAATGGTTTTCTGTGCTGCTTCTTTTCTCTAATTTTTTTTTCCACATCAAGACCACTAAACCTACTCCTTTTACTAAGCAGCTCTTCCTTTTAGTGACTAACTAACTCTGGTGAGTTATTTTAAAAGGGTAAGGATTTAAATAGATTTTTTTTCCAGCCTGGGGATAGAATATTAAAGAATGCAGTTTAATACTTTCAGTCCTAAATCGGGATTAAACCATTTGCATTGATGTACAATATTTCTATTGGTTAGTAATAGCAGCCATTAAAAAGTACTGGCTCTTTCTCCCTCCATGCCCACCGACACCTTTTCTCTGTCCAGGGCTTTTTAGGGTGTGGCTGCTTGATGGTGTACCCTGGCCACCCTTAGGGCCTCTTGTCATGTCTGACTCCCTCGGTCATCCTCACTGGCCTCATTCTCAAGGAAACAGAGCTCCCAGACTGTCTGACAGAGCATTTCTCTGGAGTTAAGCATGGTTTTCCTTCAGTTGCTCCCACACTGCCTTTGATTCCCTTCCAAATCCAGCATCTTGCATGGGTGATTCAGTGGTAGAATTCTCACCTGCCAAATCCAGTATCTTCACATTTATGTGGCTCCTCTACAGCCAGATAAGGCAGAAGAAAAGCTAATTGCAGCAGTTCTGTTCTAAGTAATCTAAAAGTTCATGTAAAAATCCAAGTAGGGCTTATCTTCATTGCCACGTCTATGAAGTACCAGTGTCAGATAACAGCAGAAACACATTAGCCCTGGAATTGGCCACTTACCAAATGCCCAGCTGGCAGAGCTGGAAAGAAGAGAGAGCCTGCCAGGAAAAGAGGAAAAGACACCCTGACATACTTGAAAATCAAGATAAATCAAAGATTGCTTTCATTAATCTCTACTAATGTGGCATCATTAGAATTAAAGCAGTTACACAGAGACAGTTGGAAGAATCTGTGAGCCTAGGGTTGATCTTGTTATTAACAAGTCAACATAATTAGATTTGAAGGAAAAATCAGATGTCATGGATGTATCTATAGGATTTATTTGATTATTTATACAAATTCTGAATCTGATAGAATTTTGCTTGTTGTTGGGGTTTTTGTTTAACTGGTTTGTTTGTTTAGCATTTTGTTGTGAGCCATCATGTTAGAAAAAAATCTAAGTGGATTTGCATTAACTTTTCCACTGCTTGTTAGAAGTTTTTGGTGGTTGTAAATGTTTATGTTACGTCTATGTCTTTATATCTTCTCCAAGAAGTATACTATACATGTCATGTTACAAGCACATTAGTCAACTTCATATTCTGCAGATCAGAGTTCCAATATCAAACCTTCCCAGGGTGTCTGTATTCTGACAACTGTGTACTGAGGCCAGGCCCATACAGCGCAAAGTGAAGTGACGATGTGGCACTTGTCAAGGTAATTTGATAAGCCGTATGAAAAATTCTGTACCCAAAATAAACTTTGAATCATACATAATTAGGAGCATCTCCATCAGCTTTTCCTGCATAACAAACCATTCCAAAATTTAGTGGCTTGAAACAAACATTCATTTAGATTGCAACTGTGTACATCAGGAATCTGGGCTGGGCCTGCCTAGACTGTGCTGTCATCTTAGCTGGGCTCACTCACTCTGCAGCCCCTCACCAGCTGCCCATCAGCTGGCCCACAAAGGATGGCCTCAGCAAGGATGGCTGCCTCCCCATAGACTCTCATTCTCCACAGGTTAACCCCAGATGGTTAACCACATGGTAGCCACTGAGAACAAAGCTTGTGGAATTTTGGAATCAGAACAGGTACAAAGTCCCTGCCATGCTTTTTATAGGTCAAATAAAGTCCCCATGTCAACTTAGATTTAAAGGGGTAGGAAAACAGACTCTACTTCCTGGTAATAACAGTTTCAGTCATATTGCAAAGGGGTGTCAATTTGGACAGGGATGGGAAAGTTTAGCCACTTTCATTAATAATCTAGAATAGACACATGCCTTAGGGGACAGGCAAGCCATAGCTTCCTGACGGAGGAACAGGTGTGTCTTGGTACTTCTTGTGCCCCCAGCATGGTGCCTAGAACACTGAAAAGTAAAATGCTTGTTAAATGAATGATAATAAGAGGGCTCAAGATATTTCAGACATACAGTGTTTGACAGTAATCTCTTTCTTATGCAACCATTAATAACCTAAGTGACTGGGTCAAACTCTGGCATGCTTTACAACTCACTTTTCAGCAGCAGCAAATTATTCACAGGGGGCCTTTTAGTATTCTCCTCCCCAACCTTTAGTATTTAGTATTTGATCAGAGATCAAAACTGATACTTTAAAAATTTGGCTATGTGTTTTATTTTTAACATATGGTTTTGATGAGACCAGGAACCAGATTCAGTGCCCAACTGTTCCTTGTTCTTCTTAGGAATCAACTTATTGCCCCATGGGTAACATCCGTGCCTGATTTATGTTCACCTTATTGCCTCTATGCCTTTTGAACTGTTTTAGGTAGACTCAGGCATAGGCATCCGTTGTCCATCTGCTCTCAGTCTAATTTAATTTCTCTACCCACATCCCATAATACTGTTGACTTCTTGAGCTCCACTTTGCTTCTTCCACGTACTCTGGTCAATTTTGGTCCAACTCAAACCTGAAACACTATTTATTGCTAACCCTCCCTACTTGTTTTCTACCCAACCATCTTCTATAATGCATTTTTTGTTTTTACACTTAAGTGATCTGTGAAAATGTTTAATATTACATAGAAAAGGAAACTCACTTTAGGTCATTTGGATTATTATTTGAACAATATATCTATAATCATAATATAATGCCATCTTACATTCATATGACAGTGTACAAGCAAAAAAGTGCTTTTAAGTGTATCATAACATCTGTTCTCTGATGGGTAAACATGAGAAAATAAATGTTTCTGGAAGGTAAGTGATTATACAGAATCAAACAACTAGTAAGAGGCAAAATCCAGATAAGCACCCTGGACTTCCAAAATCAATCCAAAGATATTCTCTGCTTCTCCGTGCTATGCCACAGTCAGTTAGCATTATGTGAGCTCAGTATTATGTGAGATTCTCAAACTGTCTTTACTATGAGCTCCAAACCATATAAGATTTTGAGAATGCTTCTATAGAAATAGTGTTCATTGTGTGAAAATAGAGTCCAAGAATGTGCATTAGAAATAAATCACTGAACTAAAAATTCTGATTTAAACTGGCTTTATTTCCAAGCACTACTAAGTTGACTGCATTGTCTAATCTGGATAACTATTTCAGGCAAGCTGATTTATATGAATTTTTCACCAAATTAACCATGGATTTTGCAAAATAATGTAATTATCCTTTTTGAAAGACTTCACTTCCTAATACAACCTTCTGATACATAAGACAAAAGTAATTAACAGCAATAAAGTTAACATTGCGCTAATTCCTTTCCATTGATATACCAAGTTCTTTCATTAAAATCTGTGTTTGCAATTTTAAAGCACTTTCTTGACATTTCAAAGTAGAGGGTCAAGAAATTAGGAGATACTTGCATTTGAACTAACAATAAAACTATATAATGCCAAG